GTTACTTATTAAAAGCCCCACAGAAATTCAGATTGCCTTCTGCTGATCTCCTGATGCACATGCAACGTCAAAGTAAATGGGACAAACCTGAAGCAAGTGGATATGATTAAGTGCTTGGGTACCCTGATAACCTCAGATGGAAGATGTATTAGAGAAGTTCACTGTAGAGCAACTCAAGCAAAGGCAGCATTATACAAAATGAAGAATTTCTTTATGTAATCTTGCTTTGTCAGTTGAGATGAGAAAGAGAATTCCCTAAAGCTACATAAATCCTATCTTGATATATGGAAGTAAATCATATGCAATTGGTAGATTAGTGAAAAATTATTTGGAAGCTGCAGAAATGTGGTTTTATAGACGAATGATGAGAATACCCTGGACAGATAAAAATAGTTATAGGGATGTCCTGAAAGGAACTGACTCATGAAGAGAACTGACTGCCCACATCAGAAAGAGACAATCTGCATTCTTTGGCAAAGAGATAAGGAGAAAACTGAAGTACATCATGACAGTAGTAAACGGAAGGGAGGAGAGGCAGAGGGAGACCCAGAGAAAAGATGCTGGGCAGTTTGACTCATGTCATGGAAGATCATCTGTTTCAAAGTTGATTAAAATTACACGAGACAGAAGGTTGTGGACAGACATGACTACCAATGCCACATGGCATGGACTTTAAGAAGAAGAGAAGATCTCCTGATCTGTCACTTAGTAAATTGAAAACAAATCAAAACATCGTTATTACAATATGTCTATGATGATCTCATCTTTCTTCTATTAAAATTGTCCATCTCTGCAGCTTCAACATAATTTCTCAGTAATCTGCTGCATGTCCATGATTTACTTCCTTACATCTTCTAGAGGTGTACTGATGAGACATATGGCTACCCAGCTTCTACTAAGACTTGATCTGTGGCCTTATGTGTTTATAGTGAAGTAATTTGGCATGTTTAGTCTTTTTCTTGTACTCTCCATAGAGGCCGATGGCCGTGGTAACCCTGAGCAAATAATTTGGCAGTTGGTAAACTTCTTGTACTCTCCATTAGTACAATGACCAGAGGTTGGTGTAGTGTTTTCAGCTGTCACTGCTGTATCATCAGCCTAACATAGACTTGTTGTAACTGCCAACTCTTATTTCAAATCTATTTTTGATCTCTATCATTATTATTTTGCTGCAGAGAAAGTATGTCCTTTTTTTTGTGTGTTCATAACTGCCCATTTTTTAAATATTTTTTATTGCTGCTACTTGTCTCCAGTAAATATTTGTAACAATTCTGAGATTCATGTGAGCTTGGAAAGATGATGTGGTGTTTTCCCCTTGTCTTCATTATTTTTGTCCCACCTGTTCCATGTTGGTGGCGTCCGTGGCTAAGGCGTTGCTAGTCCGACTCGTAAGCCAGCATACCGCGATCGAAACCCACTGCGGGCTGCGTGGATTTTTATCGTGGTATGGGACGTCGCAGGTCGACCCAGCCTAAAATGGATACCAGGATGGGCTGTCCTGGGAAAGTAAAGACAGCCGGCGTAATGCTGACCACATTACCCACAGAGTGCTGATGGTCTGTAAAAATATGGGACGTTCTGCCCATATGCCCGATGCGCCGAAAGGCGTGAAAAGGGAACTTTGCTTTGTTCCATGTTGCTTAGTCGTCAGAAATTATTTTTTCTATTTTCCTAATTCTGTGATTCTATATAGCTTATATAATGTGTTTATTTCTAGGAAAGTTAGTTGTTTTGTTTTCATTTTAATTTCTAGGAAAGTTAATTATTCGGTTTTTGTTGGGAATTTCTAGGAAAGTTAATTATTCTGTTCTTCATTGGTTGCCACAGCAAGATAAAACAGACCTGGCCATTCCTGCACTTGAATGCCTCATCTCACATGATAAAGAAGACAAAAGAGTGGTCACTGCTTTGCGCTGCTTGCTCCGGCTTCTTGTTACCAAGATGGGTCAAGATAAAATGTAAGCATTGCTTTTATTTTTACCAATAATAGTCTCTGAGAGACTGAATTTACTGACAAATAGCCAGATTGACAAAATGGTGACTTCTGCACAGTGAAGGTTGGCTTCACTGTATCCGCTGCTCACTTTGGGAACCTTACATGGTAAGGCATTAGTCTCTTCCTCAGTGTGACTCTCATGTCACAGTTTAGGGCTACAAGTTTTGTAACAACTGATAATGTGACCGAAGTTACAGCTTCAAAATGAAATAGTTAAAATAAAATACAACGTAAATCATCAGATTCAATATTTAGTTTATGATAGTGGGTAGTGGGGTTTCACGCTATGGTAGTGGTTTGGATTTAACGCCCAGCAGATACAGGATTAATTTTCTTACCAGTATAGCTCTGCGGTTGACCCAGCTTCATAAAAATAGGATGAGAAAATTTTCTGAAAGGGAAAGGCAGTGAGGAATAGAACAGTAATTCCCTGGATGGATTCCAGGGCCCTGTTATAGGGAAAACAAGAATAGACACACTGCCTACCCAAAAGCATGTCGTAAGACTAATTGGGAGCTTTCTTCGAAGTCGGAGTGCATCTGCGTGAGAGGCAAGGAACCAGCAGTCTGGATACAAATGAGTCAGATCTGTAAAACGGATGCGCATACAACACAGGTTCTGGAACAGGACTGCAGTCCAAAAGTGAATGAACAACCAGAACTTTCCACAAGAGTTTACTGCTGATGAACGCAAAGAAGAAAAAGAACAGTCACCCCAAGGATCTGATGTATGAGGATTAAATTGTCCAAATTATTTATGCCTTCTTACATTATAAAATCACCAATCAATCAGGTGCCATCTCCACAGTGAAGGTTGGCTGCAAGGGATCTCCAACATGCTCTGTCCCTTGTCCTGGTTGTACACTTTCTCAGACTGCTGCCTATCCATCACTTGATGTTGTCCTGCCATTTGTATCATTGCCTACCTCTTGCTCTCTTGCCTTCAACCTTTCTACCAAGTATGGTTTTTAAGAGTGTGTTATGTCTTTTAATGTGGTGAAAGTATTTCATTGTCTCTATTTTATTTCTCTCAGTAATTCTCTTTTCATTTGTAGCCTTTCCAGAACCAGTGTATTGGCCTGTTTTTGCTTCCATGAAATGTGACTTATTCTTCTGTATATCCACATCTCCAAAGACTCAATTCAATTTCTAGTTTGCTTGTTCATTGCCCAAGTTTACACAATGAAAAAGACCACTTATACAGCACATTGGAAAGAGCAAACAGAAGATCCTTGCATTTCCCCTCAACACTTTGATGAAGTAATTGGAAGAAGTGAAAAAGAAGAAAAAGATCTTGCACGAACACCAGAATCAATGATCAGGTCTATGCTAGTCTATAAATTATAGGTCTAGCCCTGTATACCCAATACGCCTCAAAGGTGTGGAAAAGTTCCATTTTCTTACTCACAATGTAGTTAATACAACATAAATGAAAAACAAACTGACTAGAGAACTGAGCAGACAATAGAACAGCGCTAATAAACCGCCAAGCTGACAGTGGAAACATAAAATGAAGGAAGAGAACTGGTCACCCCATCTCATATGTCATAGCTTAGTATATGCGAAGATCAAACAGTTCACATCCCAAAGACAGCATCTGCTATGGGACTACCTAAACCTTTCTCCCTAACCTTTACCAGTAATCTCTGCTGATGGTGTGAAACATTGTATTCTTTGCAGCACTGACACGAAGACAGTGTTAGTTCATGCAAGAACTGGTTAGTCTTTTGTAGTTATTATAGTTTTTCTTTTTTTATGTTATGAGTTCAGTTCAGTTTAGTTGAGTTAAGAACCTCCCCCGGTGAATTTTGAGATCCCATTTTAGGGGGAAAAAGAATAGACCCACTGCCCCCTTAACAAGCATGCTGTAAAAAGTTGAATAATTAAGGGTATTTCCTTTGGAATCAGAATACATCTGCCCTAGAGGCAAGGAACCGACAGTCTGCATACAAAACAGACAGATCTGTAAAACAGATGTGCATGCAAAACTCAAGTTCTTGGGCAAGACTCAAGACCACAAGTGGATAAACAGCCAAAACTTTCTGCTGGAATTTACAGCCCGATGATCGCGAAGAAGAAGGAGTTAAGACAAACAAGTAAGAGTGTGTTCTAATGTGTATGGTTATTTTGAATCACTTTTCTGAATTCATTATTACTTCTTCTTATTCATCACTTCCTCCAGTTACTGCATTTGAAGGGTCTTTTGTGTACTCTTTCCAATTCATTGTATATGTTGTTATTTATTTCTTAAAAGCTGTCCCTAATGCTGTCATTCCATATTTTCTGTGGTCTTCCCCTTGCTCTGTGGCAGTTGGTACCAGGGCATTGTCATCAGATGGTTAAACCATCTTGTCTGTGGCTCTTTAATTGACTGTATGACGGTTTCGGGCTTCTTCTTCTTTTTATTACTTATGTTTATGAAGATTACTAATAAAGCATGTTTTCAGATATGTCACAACATGGTTATGTGTATGTACATATGAATGTGCTCGCACACACTTACACCTCCATGTAAGGGGCTATTGTAGTGCAGTAACAGCCTACTGGTAGCTAAATAGGGATTTGCTGAAATCAAATACATTGAACCAGAAAGTTAAGATATTGCAGCCTATCTGTAAACCCCAAGACAATGTGCCAGCTGCCTTTTAAGGATGAACACAAAAGAAGAAGAAGAGTATCATTATCATGCAGGCCACTTTACATCCTAAAACATTTCCTGTTACCCAGCAAGCATGCCAGCCACTACACTGCCACAGTTCTCAAACTTTAACTGTGGCTGAAGAGCGGCTGGCCAAGTGGTTTAGAACGTTGTGCTTTCATTAAGGAGACCCTCGCTAAGGTGGTGGGTTATTTCTGTCTGGGGCCCCCCAAAAAAATCCTACCCTGCACAGTTTGTGGTGACTGCACTAGTCATGTGGCCCTTAATCCTCAATCCCAGGATTTCCCACTTTACAGGCAGTAAAAAGACAGTTTTTAAGACCTAAACTGCATTTGTTTCTCTATAGCTTATAATAAACTGCTTAGTGCTCAAGATAAAGATACTATACCAGCTGCAGAGATTCAAGATGAAGCACTCTGGTTCATGAAGTTGAGTAAGTAAGTGTTCAGTCCCTTCATTGCACACATTTTGAATGGACAAATGTTGAATGTAAGTCATGTATCTGTATTGTTTAAGTTAGTTGTTTGCCAAAATCTACACATGTTGAGCTAAGAACTGATATCACATCACTGAGGATGTTCCCGTAAGTGCTTTGTACATATATTCAGCATTCTGCTGAGTTCATAAAGCCAGTGTCATCAGATCTCTGTCATACAGTAGGTGAAATTCCCTGGCTACTTATTCTCAAGCTCAACGTGTCTCTTCATTCCACTGCCAAAACATCAGCTTGGCTGTTTTGGGATACATCAGTTTAGTGATTGTGTGTATTTTTTTGGTTTTGTTTGATTTATGTATGAGCTGACGAAGGCTCTCTCTAATGAAGGTTCACGTTTCTTTTGTGTTTGTTATATTGTGAAGCTCGTGGATCTACTTTTCATTTGGTTTTATATCATTCCATGATATTTCTGTCATACAGCAGGAAGAACTGGTTTCTTATGGCCATACAGTGTCAACACCTGCCACCAAAGATGTCTGTGCTTCATCCTCAGCTTGGAAGAATAGAGTAATACTAAAATGTTCCTATACATTGATATTATTTCTCCAGTGGGTTCCAGGACCCTCGTTTGCTGGGGGAGGTGATAGACCCACTGCTCCCTAACAAGCATGTCCTAAAAGGTGACTAATTGTCATTATCATCAAGTGCCTTGCCAGCTGGCATAGGGGTTCATGCGTCTCCACAGATCTCGGTCCTTGATATTCTGGATCATTTATCTTGGTCTGCCTCTTCTACAAGTGATCTTTCCAGTTGTCACAATACTTTGCAGTGCTCCTTTTCTCATCTCATGAACAAAGAACTTGGCTAATTGTGGTTTTCCTAAACTTAGATATGTTGGGCTTAAAGGCCTAGATGTCGCAGCCTAGCTGTGATACCACAACAGAGCCTGTCAACTGCCCTTTTGAAAATAAATTTAGAATAAGAAATACTAATCACATGAACAAGACATCTGGATCCTTGCCTTTCAGGCAGATGCACTCCAACTTAGAAAGAGAAAAAAACCCTAATTAGTCACCTGTTATGACATTTTTGTTAGGAGGACAATGGGTCTGTCCTTATTTTCCCTAAAGTGGGCCCCAGAACACACACTGGACAATTATTTGTTTCAAAGTTGCATGTATGCAACACAAAACTGTCAGTATAACTAAAACTGTATTTAAAAAGTCTGTGTTTGGTTACTTTATATTTTTGTTTCAGCTTGGAACATGGCACTTCAGTCCAAGGGTGATCCTTTCTGCATGAAGGAGTTCTTTAATCTCTGCTTCCAGGTTTGGTATAAGTCAATCTTCTGTCTTATGTTTAACAACACTCATCGGGAAACTAAATGGGACAACAAATGAGGCTATGCTGAAATTCCATTTGTTCAGCCACCTACTGAGTTCAGTGCATGGTGCAACACTGTGAGCTGTAGATCTCATAGGAATGCTTATTGTCTGTGCTTCTGGATATGTGTGTTGTAAACATCATATTCAGAAAATGTTAATGGCTGGTTGCCTTTTGCCTTATGCAGTATTTTGTGAATGGTGTGTGCTTTTGTGGGTGCAATGCCGGCTTTCATGGTTGACCATTTGCCCCATAAGTAAGCAACAGTTTATCAGTGTTGGCACATCTAACAGCTACCTTATGCATATTTACTTTGCGTGTGCAAGCTTCAAGATTTTGCTGAGACTGACAAGTTTTTCCACTAGTTTACAAATGGGACAGTGAAGAACATTTTGTGTGATTTCCACTGGCACAGAAGCGGAGCAGTCACGAGGCAACCCTTGATGTTGGAATCTCGACTAATGACTGAACCAACTCTTCTCAATTATAATTAAACATCCCTGTGTGGGTTGTGGGACTCCATTGTAGGGAAAACAAAAATAGACCCACTGCCTCCCCAACAAACATGTCTTAGGAGTCAACTAATTAGGAGCTTCCTTCAAAGTCGGTGCATCTGCCCAGCAGCAAGGAACAACCAACTGCACACAGATAGGCTAGTAAAATGGATGTACATGCAAAACTCAGGCCCTGGCACAAAGCCAGTCCAAACAACCAGGATTTTCTGCTGGAGCTTACAGCAACAAAGAAGAAGAAGAAGATAATTAAACAGTTGACTGCATGCGATGTGTAACTAGTCTTAACCATTCTTGATGTGTACTAATCAGTGTGTGATTGTGGCTATTTCTTCTTTATCTTCTGCTACATTCACCTTTCTAAAGGCAGTTGGCACTCTGTTTTATAATGCACATTTACCAGCATGCTTGTTATGGAGGAAAAGGGGGGGGGGGGGGGTGTCTCTTCTTTTGCCCCAAAATGGGGCCCTGAAACCCACACATGGAGCTATGTTACTAAAATATTCTTTATGTGTGCCAGTCAGTGTACATTGTGGTTACTACACTTACAGATTATATGTATTCATGTTTTGGAGCAAGACTAAAGTCCAAAGGTGGACCAACAACCAAAACTTTCTTCTGGAGTTTACAGCCAGTGAGCACAAAGAACAAGAACAAGAAAACTAATGCTAGATGGTCTGCTGCCTAATGGCCTGCAGCTCGGATTGAACCTGGCACCTTGGAATGACAGAATGTGTTCACAATAGTTTCAAACAGGAGCCATGGTAGTATAATAGCTAGCTGCTCGCCTGGTGGCCCAAAGGTCTAAGGTTTATACCCACATGATATCTTTTGTGGAAATCCTTTCAACTGTCCCTGGAAATGTGAGCATACAGAAGAATAGGTCATATTTTCATTGAAACAAAAACAGTCCCAATACAGAGGTTCTGGGAAGACTACAAGTCAAAAGGGAATTTCTGAAAGAAATTAAAAAAAGAGACAATTTAAATACTGAAGGGGAAAGTCGAAGGCAAGAGAACAAGAGGTGGGCAATGATACAAGTGGGAGGACAACATCAAGAGATGGACGGGTAGCAGTCTGAGAGAGTGTACAACCAGGACAAGAGACAGAGCATGTTGGAGATCCATTGCATCAAACCTTCACTGTGTAGATGGCACTTGATTGATTGATTGATTTATTGATTGAATAATTGACATCCTTTAAATAATATGTTTTTTTCAAAACTGACCTTGTCTTGCAAGTTGACCCATCCTTAAATAGGTACTAGGTAAAATCCTGGGAAGCAAAGGTGACCGACATGATATTGACCATATTACAGATCAAGTGCCGATAAATCTGTAAAAAATATGAGTACTAGCACTATATACTAAAGTTTTCCATGTGTCAGACACCCACATATATCAGAAACCACCTTCTTTAACCTAAAGAAATAAGAATTTAATATGTTAAACATATTCCATATATCAGACAGCCGCAAACTTTGAAAAATCATATCATCATATATATGGATAAATGTGCCAATCTCCAAAGGCATGAAAAGGGTTCATTACTTAATTTTAAACAATTGTTGTTAGTTTGGAAGAATGCTGTGGCATTTTATTCTCATTATGTTTGTTGTCAGTCTCTGTTTCTGATCACTTTCAGCTATTGTCACTGTGTGCTGCTGATGTTGAGAACTACAGTAGACATCAGAATTGCCTGCTGATGTCCTGTGCTGCATGTCTACAGCTGGCAAGGCAAACCAAGGACCAGAATACGTTGGTAAATCAAAGGCTCATTTATGATTCATTATCTTCCCTATGTGGGTTACAGTGCTCTTCTGGGGGGGGGGGGGGGGGGTTGATAGACCCGCTTACACACAACCCTTTTCCCCAACCTCCTTACTTTCAAGCATAGTATAAAAGAAAAGAGAGCTTATTAGGGTTTGTTTTGCTAAATTCAGATGTGTTTGGCTGAAGGTATTCTGGAAAGTAACGTTGTTTGATACTGACCACATCACCATTTGAGTTATCATCATCATCAATTTCTACTTCTGCTGTTAAGTGTTATGGGAAGGAACAGTTTGCAATCCATTGCTTCATGAGAAGCTGTTTTATGGGTTATATTATTGGAGTCATTTTACCACATCAATCTTTGGGTTATAACATTTGAGTTATTTCCTGTGCATTGTATAAAGTTGTCTGATACTGACCACATCACACTTTTGGTTATTAACGTTTGGGTTATTTTCCATCAGTTGCACCTGAATCTACAGGTTTCTGATATTGACCACATACACCATTTGGTTTATGAGTGAGTTATTCCCTGTCCATGGCAGTGTGGCATCTCTCTGTAGTACACTGTGTTTGTAAGAGGAGCTTGTGTTTACAGTGTTAAAAAGTTTTCTCTGGTCCTGCTGTGTAGGCTGCTGAAGCTTTCTGTAGTTTTCCTTTGTCCCTGTAGCCCAGTTTCTATCTGATGCTGTTTTCATTTGCAGTTGATCATGTATTTTATTATTGCTCTTTAACTTTGTGGGGGCGTTTGCTTGTTGCGTACTGACTCCTGTTCTTGTCAGTTAGCCTAGCCCTACACACCCCAACAGTTACATATGTCTGCCTTCTCTCTCTCTCTCTCTCTCTTTTCTCTCTCTCTCTCTCTCTCTCTTTCACGCTCATCTGTCTTTCTCCCTCTCTCCCCTGCCTCCCGACATTCCTCCTCCACTTTCTCCTTCCCTCTTTCTTTCTCCCCCTCGCTTCCACATCCTATGTCTCTCTCGCTGTCGCTCACACACAACATATTATAAAAACTTCCACTGTTTGGAGCTGAGGCAAATTGTTTGCTTCTGCCGGATGGTGGCCGATGCATTTTTTCTTCCTTTGTAGACTGGATATAGTTTCGTCACCCAGCTTCTAAGTTGAATGCATGGTGTGACACTGTGAGCTGCGGATTTTGTTTGGAATGTTTTTTTCTACTGTGACCAACGTGGTGGTGTGAATTTTAGATTAAAAAAAAATGGCGCAGTGCCTGTCGTCGCAATGTTGGTGGGTCCGTATGTGATTAAAATTGATCACGTGGGCAACTGCTGATCTGTTGGTGACTTCTGCTACCATCAATGATGAACTGCATTTCTAATGTCGGACTGTTTGTGTTAGCACTTTGGATGGCTACCGTATGCTTTAATGCATGTGTATGCTAGATATGCTGAGACAGCAGTCGACCTAAGACTACTAGACTAGACACAACATGCACACACTTCAGAAATCCCTGGGGACTGTTAATTGTGCAAGAGAGGTCACACTGTGCAGGTAACTAGCCACTGTGTGGGGAGACATGTTTGTTAAAATTTGGTGCAATAAAATTTCCTGTTTCACATTTGTTTCTAGCAAAGTCTGCTAGAAGAAGTGTTGATACATGTAGAGGAATACAGGCAAGCTGAGAAAAGCAATCAGAACACTGTATGGGCTCAAGAAGGTAATCCTGACTCCATTAACTCTTAGAATGATCATGTATCATGCCAGTTAATCTAACATTTAAATGTATGCTTAAAAGCACGTATTTGAATGTGTTTTAGGAATAATTTTGCCAGTTGCTAGTTGCTCACTAAACCAAGTGTTTACCAATTCATTAAGTAGTACCCACTGTGAACACACCTTCTTATATTGCACTTCCTTACCAAATATCTTTTGAACTGTCCTATGAGACACATCAAATTCTTTTACTAGCAAACGTATGCTTTGACAATTTTTCATCCGTATTGCTGCATCAGTTTTGGTGATAGTTGCCACAGTATACGCTTGACCCAGCCGTGGAAGATTGTGAACTCAGGTCCTTTCAAAAATATAAGTACCTACTCTGTCACTGTTGTCTTCTACCTCACTTGTTCCTGTATATACCTGTATTCTTCAGTGGATGTCCACCAACTGAAATCTTTCAAATGAAAGAAACTGAATTACCAATCTTTGAGCTTTTTCAGACAGATTTTGGATCAGCCCAACCATTTTCACAACAGTCAGAAACAAAACCTATGCAGCATGATACTGTTTTATTCATTGGTCATTACTTATCACATGACTATGATGTGATCATGTTCATTGCACACAATTACTTGTTGAGCCGCATAAACAAGTTTCAGATGAACACATTCACATTTCACTTTTATGCACCATTTTTAATAGATAATGGAAGCAACAAATACAATCTGAAGCAGCCAGTCTAATAATTGTTTCCAGTTTGAAACATGTGTGCATCACAGACCAAGTAGTGGCAATATCACTTCACCATCCAACGTAAACTGGGAGGAGAAAGAACTCTCGCCATTGCGAGGCAAATTGTGATAAGTTCCCTTTGTCCTTATATTTTTATCAGGTCCAGTGAAAGCATCATCTTCAGCAGACATGTTTTTGCTAATATATGAGTTCGAAGCGCTCACAAAACTAAAGGACCAGAGATCAGAATTAGTTCTAGAAAGAGCCTTTTCACTGCCCATTCTGGATCCAAAACTATTTCACACTCTTGCAGGTAATTTTCATGCATTCATTTATTTTACTCTTTCAACCATTTTCACACTCTTGCAGGTAATTTTCATTTATTCATATATTTTACTCTTTCAACCATTTTCACACTCTTGCAGGTAATTTTCATGCATTCATATATTTTACTCTTTCAACCATTTTCACACTCTTGCAGGTAATTTTCATGCATTCATATATTTTACTCTTTCAACCATTTTCACACTCTTGCAGGTAATTTTGAAGCATTCATAAATTTTACTCTTTCAGTCAATTTCACACTCTTGTAGGTAATTTTGAAGCATTCATAAATTTTACTCTTTCAGTCATTTTCACACTCTTGCAGGTAATTCTCATGCGTTCACATATTTTCTCTTTTAGTCATTTTCACAATGTCTTATTTTCTACTTTTCTATGTCTTGGAATGTAAGCAAACAAATTAGGAAGAGTTTAGAGGCAACTCAGTTCTTGAGAAGAATGTTGCAAAGACCTTGGACTGCCTGAATAACTAACAATGATTGCCTGAGGATTGCTGCTGAAAGTAGAACATTGTGTATAGCAGTGAGAAGAACAAAATGTTCTTTGGTCATAAGATGAGAAAAGGAGCACTGGAAAATATCGTGAGGACTGGAAAGATCACTGGTAGAAGAGGCACAGGCAGATCAAGGGAAATGGTGGTGGATGGCTTAAGACATTAGCATGGAGGAATTTCATCAATGGAATTGATTCAGAATGCCTGCGTCATCTGGCAAGGCACTTGATGATAATGCTGATGTGTCTCCATTTAAGTGAACGCAAAGAAGAAGTAGTAGAAGACTAACATATGAATTTTACTTGCTTCTTTTCTTCCACAGTCACTTTTTTCAACAAATATAATTACAGAGGACATCATTTTTCACTTTTGTAAGCGAACATCATAGGAAGAAAAGATTGGTGGCTTAGAATTTAATGAGTGGCTCTGGCTGTTGTCTCTCCAAACCTTGGTTCAGAGAGAATTTTCATTGTTCATTTAGAGATCCTCTTCAATTGGATATGACTATAAATGCTCCGATCTCCCTTGAGTATGTCTCTAAGTGTTTTTAGGCTAACAACTCCCATTCTGTTCTGGTTGATGTAACGGCGGGTGGCTTCCGCATGGTATTCCTGTCTTGCTGCTCCAATGGGTACACCCGGGGTATGCAGTCTATTCAGTGAAAAAGTCATTTTCCACAAAACCTCACAGCATTTAGTCTGTTGTATGGCATTGATGATGTCTCTCCTGTCCATAGATGGCCCTTTCCTGATAGTCACACTGCCAGCCAAGGTGTCTGCTCTCTCATTGCCTTTCACACCAGCATTTCCTGGGACAAAAGTGAAGGTGATTTTTCAAGAGAATGGTCCAGCAGGAAGTGACCAACACTCTGCACTACACAAAAGGCAAAACAAACATATAATCAAACTGTAACTGGTGCCATTGGCATTGGAACTCTTTGCTGGCTCTTGAAGATAAGGACAGAGGGATTATAGGAATGTTCATAGTTCTGTGATGTTGCTTATCAAGCCAGTCTCTCTTATTATCAATGTATCTTTTTTGTGATCACCCTAATGCTCTTTATCACACTAAAATGTGTGTCTGTAACTTAACAGAAAGACAAAATAGATTGTGTTGTGTGTTGAATTATCTGGAACTTATCACTATAGTGTCTACATGGCGAGAGTTACTTCCTATCCCATTGATGCTGTGGTGCGTCACATGGCCTGTTCTATGTTGTGGGGGCTTTATGGTATGGCTTTGTTTGGCATTTGCTCATCGTATACGGTGTTTGAGGGAGTTTATGTTGTTGTGAGTCTCTTTGAGGCTCTGCAGGCGCCTGTGTACAAGTCAGGGGGAAGCGCTGCAGGCACGACGGTTCATGATATCGAAACTAGGATATTTTTGTATTTCTACCTTCCTTGGCAGTGGCCTAGAAACAGAAGTGACCACCAAGGAAAGTAGAAATGCAAAAACATCCCAGTTTTGCTACTAATGAATCGTCGCTCAAGTAGCACAACTTGTCAGTAATCTAGCAAGTGAGCGGTGACAATACGGGAAAAGAGAAAAAGGTTGAATGTTGAAAATAAGGAATATGTGTCACACCCCCACAACATACTACAGGCTGTGGCATGAATGAGACAGGAAGTAACTCTTCCCATGCGGACAATACTGTGATAAGAACCAGTTATCTAGCCAGATTTCTTTAGTATGTTCAGATCAAGTATAAAAGCTAAAATACACATCATACATTTCTAATACACACTAACAGTTGCCGATCACACATGCTAGGTTTTCACGTATTTAAAAACATTACTACATGGTGTTCTCTAGTCATGTTAACTGTGTCTCACTGCAACCTGTCTAAATCTAAAGTGGCAAAGTGAGTGAGTGAGATGAAGTTTAGAGAAAGAGTGGAAAGTTTAGGAAAATGTATTTTGTGCAAGAGTTGTGAACGGAATGCTGTTTTTGTATCATGTAACTTTTGACTATGTACCTGAGACTTGAATCAAAAAAGTCTTTTTTTTTTTTAAAATGGAACCCTTGATATTTTATATTTTTTCTACATTCAGCTCTGGCTGTTGATCCTCCAGCTAACAACAGAAGATTAAGTATGAGAGCTCTGAAGGTTGCTATCAGACAGCACTTACAAATGGACAGTCCAGATTTTATCAGATGCAGGTAAACCACTATAACAAGCAGGTAACTTGTTTAGCATGCATAACTTAAATTTTTCTGTGTACAAGGAGCTTGTCATCTCAACATGTTAAGTCCCTGTGTGAGTTCCGGGGGCACCATTGTGGGGAAGCCAAGAAAAAGCCCATTGCCTCCACAACAATCGTGTCGTAATAGTCAACTAACTGAGGACTTTCTTCAAAGTTGGAGTGCATCTGCATGAGAGGAAAAAACCAGCAGTCTGCATACAAATATATCAGATCTGTAAAACAGATGTGCATGCATCACTCACATTCTGAAACAAGAGGTTAATGTACAACCAGAACTTTCTGTCGGAGTTTACAGCTGGTAAACGCGAACAAAAGAAACATATTAAGAGAGAAAAGTTCTAAAATAATGAAATCAGACAGAAACTGAAGGTATTTACAATGATAGCTTTCATTAGAAAACAGGTGAGATGATTTTGCCATAAAGCTGAGCTGCCAACAGACAGTTCACCTCAGCAAACAATAATATAAAGACAGTGAAAATTTAAGGGTGGCTAACCTTGTAAGTCCATCGCAACTGACCACTAAAGGTGGAGAGAGCTGATCAGGCAGTCAACAGAAACTGATGGCCAAAGGACACATAGTTTTACGATAGACAAGGATAAACCTTGTAAGTAATGGACAGAGATTCTATGGGAGCTACCGTACAGAATTAAAGGGATAGTTGATAAAATAAAATAAAGCTTTTTTTTACAAGAATTTGTAGGAAAACAAAACCTCCTATTTTGAATTTCACCTGCTTTAAGAAAACCTTTAATAGTTTAAACATAACATCACTGTGGACAGTCAATGATTATTGTGGTGTACAGATGAAGATAGTAAACTTCTTCTTCTTCTTCCTTCTTCAAGGCAGTGTATTCCTTCTTCTTCAGAGTCTTCTTTCTTCTTTACTTATGAGTTTAATTCTTGGTTTGCAGTGAAACCTTCTGTCTTCTTTCTTTTTCTTCTTTCTTTCTTAAATCTGACTTCTTCTTCTTCTTCTTCTTCTTCTTCTTCTCTTCTTCTTCTTCTTCTTGCTCTTCTTTCTTATATAATCTTCTTCTTCACTTCTTAATATTCCTGATTCTTGCTCTGCTTCTACTGTCTAGGATCTTCTTCTTCTTCTTCCGCTCCTCTTCCTCTTCTACTTCCTCTTCCTCTTCCTCTGTTCTTCTTCTTCTCTTCCTCTTCTCTTCCTCTTATTCTTCCTCTTCTTCTTCTTCTTCTTCTTCCTAATCTTCTTGGTCTTCTTCTTCTTCTTCTTCTTCTTCTTCCTCTTCCTCTAACACTTCCTCTTCTTCTTCCTCTTCCTCTTCCTCTTCCTCTTCCCTTCTTCTTCCTCTTCCTCTTTCTCTCTTCTTCCTCTTCCTCTTCCTCCAAGTATCTTATGCAGTCGCTTGTTCTTCTTCTTCTTCTTCTTCTGCTTCCACACTGTACTTCTTGGAGACCATTCAAAGCACTTTCTTCTTCAGTCCTAAAGAAATCTTACTTCTTCAATGCTTCTTCATCTTCTTCTTCTGGATAGAGAACACTTCTTCTGAGGATCTTGATTTTCTTCTTCTTCTTCTTCTTCTGCTCACCACCACCAGCAGTTCACATCAGCTGTACACACACTGGCGGAAAGTTCTGGTTGTTGGCCACACTGAACTGCAGTCCTGCTCCAGAACCTGAGTGTTGCGTGTGACATCAGTTTTACAGATCTAAATATTTGAATACAATTATAGCATCTTGCCTCTCTGGCAAATGCACTCCGACTTCAAAGGAAGCTCCCCAATTACTCGACTCTTACGACATGCTTTTGGGTAGGCAGTGGGTCTATTCTTGTTTTCCCCTACAATGGGGCCCCGGAACCCACACGGGGGTAAACATTATCAAGGCAGATGATAGTTTAATTTATTTTGCTACTGACAGAAAAAATCCCCAGCCTTACCAAGGATTCGAACCTGGGTCTCCCAGTTGAGAGTGCAGCATTCTAACCATTCGGCCAGCCGCTTCTCAATGCAAAGATAAATATACTAAAGACATTAGTAACAAATCAAAGAGAAGTCAGGTTGGAAGCCTTTTCCTCTTCTTCCTAGCATTCACCGGCTGTAAACCCCAGCTGAAATTTCTGGTTGTTCTCCACTTCTGGACTTTACTTGAGTTTTGAATGCACATCCATTTTACAGATTTTACATAAATAAATGAATAATTTGCATGCAGACTGTTTGATCCTCACCTTCTAGGCAGATACATTCCTATTTCGAAGAAGACACCCGTAATTAGTCAACTTTCAACAACACGGGAACACGGGAAACATTTTACTAAACATCAAGTAAATCAGCATGTATTCAACATATTTTCCTCTTCAGTGCTGATGTACGGAACCTTATTGAACTGTCGATGAGTGGAAATGAAGATGAAGCTCTAGGATATTTCAAAGAAACTTTTGAGATGATTGAGCGAAGAGCTAAGGTTTCAGTTGCTGCTGCTTTTATTTAGTTGGCATTATCAGCATTCTAGTTTTTGAATTCTGTTTTGTAGCTAGTGGTGGACATCAATGTTTTTTTTTTTTTAATTCGTTGATTCAATGTTTTAGTTTTGTAAATTGAAAATTATCATAATGGCCAGAAATGGCAATTACTGCAGTGTGTTCACTACTTGCCTGTTGAAGCAGTGATCACAGGTTTGAATTCCTGTGGAGGCAGATATGTGGGGGGACATTTTTTTTAACCCTTACTCCTAGGTTGACTCAGTCTAAAAGGTGAACTAAGAAATGTCTTGAAAGGTAAAGTTAGCCATTACCATATTCGTCGTCGTCATCTTTCTACTCTTCCTACCAGTGGTTGTCACATGAGAATACCTCAAGTCTCTATACAGGTTACAGTGCACTGCATGTCCTCCACTTGTTCCTGCAACTTAGTCCCCGCTAGAATGCTGATTGGTCAGACCTGAAAACTGTCTACTGCATGTAGAGGTCATGTCTGCAGCACAGATTCAGTATTCTGGGGCGCTGTTCACTTGTACAAAGTTTTGAGTGCTTTGTCTTAAATATCTGTACAAACGACTGCAAAGACAGTTGTTCACGTTCATGATATAATGGTATATTGTGAACAGGTTGATTGGGAATCGGAAGATTTCTGATGACTGCCTTGATATGGAGTGTATTTTCCTGTATGATGCCTCCTGCATTGTTGTACAGAGGGTGTTTTTTTGGGGGGATTTTCATCTCATTTTGTTCTGTTCACAATCGTCAGTAAGTCATGAAAGATAATCATTTTAAAAAAAAACACACACACACAAAATCTTGAGAGGGTCAGTTTTACAATAACCATAAATGATCAGAGAGGGAACTTTTGAGGCTGTCCGCATTCCATAGTTCTGGATTTCAAGTTGTACGATAGACATGGCAGGGGGAGGGGGCAGGGGGTCTAGTTGGTCATGTTCTTTGTACACTTTATTTCCATAGTGAAGCACCCATGCCATTTGAAGGTAACAGGTTCGATTACCAGCACTGTAATTATAGCTTTCGATTTTTATGTTGCCTAGTGTGTCCTTATATCTTTCTACTTATTTAATTGAGTGCCAATTACTACACTGTCTGTTTGTTTAATATAATTACAAGAACCATAAATAATGGATGTTTCAGTGAGTACACAGAAACTACAAATATTCAAAGAAAACTGCTATACTGAAGAATAATGCCTGCATCTTATATGAATAAAGAAATGCATGGAATCTTTTAATCATTCCCGTTAATTATAAAATAAATAACATTTCAGTCATTGACATTGTTTAAGTAAACAACTAATAAGTCAATAATTTAAACTTTTAATTTTAACAGTTATGTCTTTAGTATATAGTATGAATTTTAACTTTACTGACTGTGCCTTACTTGTTCCTGAAAATGTGTGCATGATGAACCAGGGACTAAATATAAGAAAGTGAAGCCTAACAAGCATATGTGATGTCATGAATCCTCTGGTGAACCAAGTACCAGAGCATCATATGTCAGCTATCAGTTTATGGAAGCCTCCTTTTATAGTAAGCAGTGGCAGTCAAAATGCACAGATATTGCATCCCAGCCATAAACATGTAGCATGTCCAAAACCAAACAAAAATATGGAATTACCAAAGAAGTAAAAAGTATCAAATTTTATAAGTAAGCGCCGCTGGAACTAAATTGGCCATGTAATCAGAATGGATAAGACTAGATTTCCTCATCAATCCCTCATGTGGACACCAGAAGGTAAAAGAAACCGGGGAAGACCAAGAGAAACCCTGTTTAGAACCATCATCAGGGAAGGCTCAACCATGGGTCTAATGAACACCCAAGACCTAAAACAGGTGGCAAGGAACCGCCAGACGTGCAGAGCTAGGACCTCTGCCCCTATGTGCCGCCCTAGGCTCGGGAGGAAAGACTAAGAAGCAAAATATTTTTAATGAAACTATGACACTAGATTTCCTTAATTACTTCACTTGACTTACACATTTGTGATGATCTGAAATCAGACTTACAGAATGAGAATTATCTTGGATTGTCTTTACTATGTCCAGGAAAAATATCCTGAGATTGAAATTCTGTGGTTGATGACAAAATCATGGAATTATGGCTTGCATCTCTACAAGTAGGTGCTTATGTGTGCGTGCTGTGTCCTCATATTATTGACTTGTTCCTTTTCTGTTTTCAATTTTTAAATCAAGATTATTTTCTTCTTTTTTCTTTACATGCCAGCTGTGAAGTATGGCTGAAAATCCTGGCTGTTTTCTCACTTCTGGACCTTTGTCCTGTTCCAGATATGACTTATTTGTGTGCAGATTGTTGGTTCCCCACCTCTTAGGCAGATATGCTCTAACTCAAACATAGCTACATTGACCAGGCCCCAGATTTAGAAGCTGTTTCTAGCATGACCCTGGAGAGGTGGGAATATGTTTGAAGCCTTGGTCGTGGTGCACCATCACTAGCAGTGGTTTACTTCTGCACACCACATCAAGAGTATGATGAGCAGTACAGCTTACAGTATACAATGGCAGTCGTGGGTTCAATCCCTATTACAATCAGGGCTGAATTTGTCTTACCAGAATGGTTGTGGGTTACTGAAACTGTGAGAACTTATTGGTTTGCCTGTGTAATTTGTCTGCCTTTTGTCTTCAAATAGAAATTAATAGTTTACCTCTGTGATATCTGTCTTCTGCAGCTTTGTCTCAGCCTTTCAAGTAAAAATCTTGAGATTGTGCATTTTTCCTGTGTCAACTTACGGTTGTGAGTCTTGGACCCTCACCCAATCACTGAGGAAACAGATTGGAGCTTTTGAAGTATTTTGGCCTCATCAAGTGTCATGGTGGCCTGGAAAAGACGGTGATGGAAGGTGCAAAGATGGATACAAGATATTGAAGATGCATTGGCATTAAAAGCACATGGGGCCAGAGAGCTGGCTAGGGAAATGGATACTTTCAGGCGTTCCGTGAAAAGAGCAATGTTCTCTAAAGTACTTGCTGATTGATGATGATTCTCTTTTCTAAATCTTCTTATAAGCTGTGGCAGAAGGTTTTGGTTATTCATCCATTTCAGGACTTTGGTTTCGTTCCAGAACTTGGATTTTGCCTGCACGTTTATTTTACCAATCACTGTTGGTTCCTTGCCTCTCAGACAGAAGCATTTTGACTTTGAAATAAACAGGTTTATTACATGTTTTTTAGGGAGCCAGTAAGTCTGTTCTTATTTTTACCCAGAACCCACAGAGGAATCTTTTCTTTGTCTTATGTGTTCTTCTGTTCTTTTACCCTGTGAGTTCCAGGGGAAAATTTAACAGATAATGAGTTGTCCCTGTGTTTCGTACCCAGCAAAAGTGTCTTTTTCTTGGATACTTCTGGAAAACTCTAAATTTTTGACATTCATACTGGTTCTACTATTACTTACGGACTCTAATTCAGTGTGTAGTTTAGTAATTATTTTAGTTCTACATATTTCTCATTCATAAAAGATGCTAATTTGACATTATATTTAATAAATATAGGGTGTCTATTTTTAACATCTGTGTACACCTTGCTACCTAGTTATTGCTACCTCTCGTCAGGTCTATTTAGTTCATTTAGAATCTGATTTTAACAGACTCATAGGATGGTTAGTACTGATTGTGTGAGTACTGACATTGTAGTAATTCAAGGAAATGTGAAGGCAGACAAAATACATGCAGCTGTGAGTAAAGATGTTAAAAAATCTGCAATTAAAATTATTATTAACACAAATAGAGGTTAATGTAGAATCAAAGCCTTCAAGGAAGTCATACGTGTAATAGACATTTCGCCTGCGGATCCAAAGATCGTAGATTCAGGTCCTGTAAAGGCGGCCAACTGGATGTTGACCACATCACCCACTGAGTGCTGATTGGTCTAAAAAATATTGGTCTAGCCCTATATGCCCAGTACAGCTAAAGACGCGGAAAAGGGTCCTTTACTTACTATTATTAAGCTGCAAATTTATTTGAAAATCAGATACAATCACATAACAACGCAAGATCAAGTGCAGATATTTTAATAAAATTATTTGGTTTTTTTGTGGCAAATTTAAAAAAAAATCAAATAGCCTGTTATCTACTTATTATATACTTCCATTTCAGTTGTGGTAAATTTCAAGAGTCAGAACAGTGGTGTGGAATGAGTATGCGGTTTCTCAAATACCTGTCTTCTGTTAAAGATGATTATGAAGAACAGGTATACATTATCAAATAATTTATAATTGAATGTCTGCCTATGAATGAAAGCTGCTAAGAAATAAAATGGGTTAACTACAAGTGAAAAACACACGCAAGGACATTGGATATATAAAGAAAAGACTCATATTTGTATAGATGATGGGTGATATGGTCAGCACCACACTGGTCGCCTTTACTTCACAAGATATTTTGTCTATGAATCTGTTCTCTACTTGACTGTTCCTTCTTACTCAGACATTTGCTGCTTTAAGTGAATACCCCCATGTACAAGACATCCCCATATGTAAGACCCTAATATATAAGACACCTCCATGTAAATATAATGCCCTTCATGTGTAAGAAACCCCCATGTATAAGACACCCCCTGTATATAAGACATCCTATGTTTGTAAGAGATCCCCCATGTATAAAATGCCCACATGCATTTTAAACACCCCCATGTATAAGATGCACTCGTGTATGTAAGACATCATCATGTATATAATGCCACCATGTATAAGACACCATCATGTATGTAAGACATCATCATGTATATAATGCCACCATGTATAAGACACCATCATGTATATAAGACATCCCCATGTATATACCCCATGTATATAATGTCCCCATGTATAAGACACCACCATGTATATAATGCCACCATGTATATAATGCCACCATGTATAAGACACCACCATGTATATAATGCCACCATGTATAAGACACCATCATGTATATAAGACATCCCCATGTATATACCCCATGTATATAATGTCCCCATGTATAAGACACCACCATGTATATAATGCCACCATGTATATAATGCCCCCATGTATAAGACACCACCATGTATATAATGCCCCCATGTATAAGACGCCACCATGTATATAAGACATCCCCATGTATATACCCCATGTATATAATGTCCCCATGTATAAGACACCACCATGTATATAATGCCACCATGTATATAATGCCCCCATGTATAAGACACCACCATGTATATAATGCCCCCATGTATATAATGCCCCCATGTATAAGACGCCATCATGTATATAAGACACCACCATGTATATAATGCCCCCATGTATAAGACACCACCATGTATATAATGACCTCATGTATAAGACGCCACCATGTATATAAGACATCCCCATGTATATAATGCCCCCATGTATAAGACGCCACCATGTATAAGACACCACCATGTATAAGACACCACCATGTATATAAGACACCACCATGTATAAGACATCCCCATATATATGACACCACCATGTATAAGACATCCCCATGTATATAATGACCCCATGTATAAGACACCACCATGTATAAGACATCCCCATGTATATAATGCCCCCATGTATAAGACACCACCATGTATATAAGACACCACCATGTATAAGACATCCCCATATATAAGACACCACCATGTATAAGACATCCCCATGTATATAATGACCCCATGTATAAGACACCACCATGTATAAGACATCCCCATGTATAAGACACCACCATGTATATAATGACCCCATATATAAGACACCACCATGTATAAGACACCACCATGTATAAGACACCACCATGTATATAAGACACCACCATGTATAAGACACCACCATGTATATAAGACACCACCATGTATAAGACACCACCATGTATAAGACATCCCCATATATAAGACATCCCCATGTATATAATGCCCCCATGTATATAATGACCTCATGTATAAGACGCCACCATGTATATAAGACATCCCCATGTATATAATGCCCCCATGTATAAGACGCCACCATGTATATAATGCCCCCATGTATATAATGCCCCCATCTATATAAGACACCACCATGTATAAGACATCCCCATGTATATAATGACCCCATGTATAAGACATCCCCATGTATATAATGACCCCATGTATAAGACACCACCATGTATAAGACACCACCATGTATAAGACATATCCCCATATATATGACACCACCATGTATAAGACATCCCCATGTATATAATGACCCCATGTATAAGACACCACCATGTATAAGACATCCCCATGTATATAATGCCCCCATGTATAAGACACCACCATGTATATAAGACACCACCATGTATAAGACATCCCCATATATAAGACACCACCATGTATAAGACATCCCCATGTATATAATGACCCCATGTATAAGACACCACCATGTATAAGACATCCCCATGTATAAGACACCACCATGTATAAGACATCCCCATGTATATAATGACCCCATATATAAGACACCACCATGTATAAGACACCACCATGTATATAAGACACCACCATGTATAAGACACCACCATGTATATAAGACACCACCATGTATAAGACACCACCATGTATATAAGACACCACCATATATAAGACACCACCATATATAAGACACCACCATGTATAAGACATCCCCATATATAAGACATCCCCATATATATAATGACCCCATGTATAAGAGACAACCCATATTTGTTTAGCTCAAAATAAGGAAATTTTAATCTTTCCAAATGTGAGCGAACATATCATTCTATACAAAGCAAATAGTATTTCTGGTGTTTGTTTTTCAGATGATGTCACTGTACCAGGAGATCATGAACTGTCTTGACAAGCAATCAGTTCTGACAAGTGTTAGTAAATAGATCATGCAGAGCTGTGTTTCCCAACGTGGGGCCCATGCTCCCCTGGGGAAGCAAATTGATTATAAAGGCGGAAAGGGGGGGGGGGGGCAGTTTGTTGGGTGAGGGTTGAGGTCAGAGTGCATCTGTCTGAGAGGCAAGGAGCCACCAGTCTGCATGCAAATGAGTCAGATCTGTAAAATGGATGTACACACAAGTCAGGTTCTGGATAAGGCCTACAGTCTAGAAATGGCTGAACAACCAGAACTTTCTGCCAGAGTTTACAACTGGTGAACACAAAGAAGCCTATAAGCTCATGGTATCTGACACACTTTTATCACAGATGTTGCATTAAGTGATACTTCCTACTGCCTGACTTCTCTTTTTGTCACAACATTGTTTCATTCACGATGTTTTCTTCTTCCTCCTCCTCCTCCCTTCTTTCTTTCTCTTCTCCCTCCTCCTCATTCTTCTTCCTCCTCCTTCCTTCTCCACCTTTTTCTTCCTCCTCCTTCTTCTTCTGCTGTTTCTGCTTCTTCTTCCTCCTCTTCCTTCTTCCTCTTATTCTGCGTCCTCCTCTTCTTTCTTCTTTTTTTCTTCCTCCTCCTTTTTTTCTTACTCCTTTCTTCTTCTTCTTTCGTTCGCCTGAAATAAGTCATCTATATCAGCAGTTTTGTGTCTTGTATAAATTTCACTGTCGTTGTTAGTTCATTCAGTGGTCCATAGAGTTTACGTTCCACTGTTGTTCTTTCTGGCCAAAAGGTTTGCCTTAATGTGTCAAACTCGGTGCAGTCCTGGAGTACATGCTCTGCGGTCTGGGGCACATTTCCACAGGTGCACATGGCTGATACACCTATCTTGAATTTTGTGTACATGTGGTTACGTAATCGGTTGTGCCCTGTTCTGAGGCGGAAGATAATGACTTGTTCTGGTCTGTCCATAATAAAATAGTCGTCTTGTGCTGGGGCTGGTGGTTTCCTGATCGATTTAATGATTCTTTTCTTTTGGTGGTATGTGACTGGTACATCTGGCTGCTCTTTTTTCGCACCTTCCCCTGCCAGTTGATCAGCTTTCTCATTTCCAGGCACTCCACAATGAGACGGTATCCACTGCATTACGACTCTTCGCTGAACGCTGAGTTGTGTCAGCAGTGTTTGCAATTCTGGTAGTTTCCTAGACTGGAGTGCTTCAAGTACTGATTTAGCATCTGTAAGCATTACCACATACTGTGAGCCAAGGTTGGTATTTAGCAGTTTCTCTGTAGCTATCTTAATAGCCTGGGTTTCTGCATCGTAGTTATGGATGTACACTCCAGCACCACCATTTCTAACTGCACTTTCTGCGGACCCATCTGTATAGACTCTGACCCATTGTTCTTGTGGGTATTCTTCATCAATATAACTGAGGGTGGCCATTTTGCGTTGTACACTATCTTGCTCTTTCTTGTCAAATATCCCTTTCACATTTGTCTGGATTTGTACCTGAGCGCTTGAGTATTTTCCCATCTGCTCCCCATGTGGTTCCACTTAGTTTTCTTAGTATTGCTGTCTTCCTCCTGGCTTTGGTTGCTGCCTTGTTGATATGTTTTCTCCATGTCAACCTGTCATCAAATGTGACTCCTAGGTATGTGGGCTCTTTATCATCTCTCAGGGGTATTTCGTTTATTTTGATGGTGCCGGCTTTTTGCTTTGGGGAGAGGGTGAATAGTGTGGTGCTACATTTGTCTGTGTTGATGCTGACACACCATCTATTGGCCCATGCCTCAAGTGCATTTGTAGCCCGCTGTAGTGTTTTTGTGGCTATCGTTGCATGTTCATTGGTGCACCACAGTACCAGGTCGTCGGCATACATTGCCATTTTGATTCCATTTGGTATCTCAGCAACCAGATCGTTGATAAATAAAAGGAAAAGTGTGGGCGACAGGACACCACCTTGAGGGACGCCTTGTCGCAGTAGAACTTTTTTACTTTTAAAACCATCTACCTGTACCCGGGCTCTTCTGTTATGTAGATATGCATTAATCCAATTGTACATTTTTCCATTTATTTTATAGTTTCTCAATTCTTACTCCTCATCTTCATCCTCTCCTCATCTTCATCCTCTCCTTTCTTCTTACTCCTTTCTCCTCCTCTTCTTCTTCCTTTTCTTACTCTTTTTCTTGTCCTTGTCTTCATCTTCACCCCCCCCCCTCCCCTTGGTTGTCTAACTGGTTAATGTAAGACCTCCCTTATTCTTCTGTTAGTGTGTTTGATGATAATAAAAATTTAAACATTTCTGCCTGAAATTGTTTGTGTTCACTTTTTTGTAATGATTTCACTGTGGTCAGTGATGAACAATGTTGATTTGTAGAGGGAAATGGTACAAATAGTTTTAATTATCCAAGAAGCCCTAAATATATAGCTGGTGCCTGAAATAGGGCCAAACGGGGCTTCTAGGACCTCTCCACATGGTGGCACTTTGTGTCACCGGCTGTTTATCGCTTGTGTGATGTCCTGGTGGGGTACAACATACATACATACATACAAACAATGCCATATACATCCTAAGGACATTATAAACAGAAGAATCTGTCTTGTTGCATGGCATGTAAGTGTGTCAGCTTATGAACTGTTAGATGGTGCAGGAGATCGCAGAGGAAGGGGGTGAAACTGCTGTATCCTCCCCCTCTCTCTGTCTCTCTCTCTGTCTGCCTCTCTCACTCTCTCTCAGCCTACTATCATGTTGACCTACATGTATTTCGTTTGTGTCCTTGAAGAACTTCCTTTCCAAATACAATAGAAAGTAAACCTAATCTTTGACAGAATGAGACAAGAAAAGCAAACAAAACCACACCACACTAACACGTTTGTTTGTTTGTGCTGCTTTTTGTTTTTTAATATGGGCTTTGTAATGTTTTGTACCTGTCGTGGTGTAGAAGCTAGATGTTCACCTGCAGATCCTGGAAAGAAAAGATCTAACCCTTTATGTCCAGTACAACTGAAAGCATTAAAAAAAAAGGGGGCTCGTTTTATTTGCGAATTTTTGTTTTTAAACTTTGTTGCGTTGACCAGGAGTAGATTAAAAGAGAGAAACTGATTGGTTAGCGAGGTCTACGAAAAGTCATCAATAGAATCCAGATACAAGATTTGTCAGCGTTGAGCCCTCATTCTTTGTTTTTGTCTGTCATAAATAGTCATCGAAATTTTCTGGATCAGTCAAAAAAAGAAGCACACTACGGAAACACTGTTTTAAAAAAGAAAAAACGATTCGGGCAAACTGTCAAGAGAGATAACTATGCAAGCTTTTTTTCATGTGCATTATAATTACATTATTTCCCTTTATATGGTGGTCTGGTAGGATTGGATTGGATTTTTTACCCCACCAGGACATCACACAAGCGATAAACACCCGATGACACAAAGTGCCACCATGTGGATGAGGATCACCGTGGGAGAGGTCCCAGAAACCGCGTTCAGTGGTCTGGTAGTCTTAGTTTCAGCTTTATAGCAAACGGGTTATCCCATCTTTGCTCCACTCCTGTGCCAACGAAAAAGACACAGAATGTTTATCACAGTCCCTCGTGGAAAGATCTCAGTCTATCACTTTACTAATAACTCCGTTTCGTTATTTTAGTATACCTTGCATAAAAACCCACCCACGCTGAACTAAAGCCTTCTTCGCAAGCCAAGCAATCTTCTTCAATCTTTAGTACAAGGTTGATTTTTTTTTTTTTTAACAATGCCAAATGAAACTACTTTTTTAAATTCATGTATTCTATTTAATTAGACACTTTGATCTTAAGAACTGCACACATTGGAAGGTGGGGGGAGAGACATCAGCGACAGGGTCGCCCATTGGCTCGCCGGTAGACGACTTCGTTGCCCGTCGGGACAGTATTTGGGTTTGTCTCCGGTGATCGCATAAACTCTGCGGAAGTCCTTTCCAGGACTACTTGGGGGCGTGCAATGCTAAGCCGTTTTATACGGCGCACATGACCTAGTCACAGTTACAACTAGGGCTGTACCGAATAGTGTATTACACAAAATGTTCTTCTTTTTATAAAATGCAGTTTTTGCGTGTCCTATTCTGTTTCTTATCTCAGTTATGCATCTTCCATCTGATGTTATCCATGTGCCCAGATACTTCAATTTCTGTACTTGTCCCAAAATAACACCATCGACTTTTATTACACACAAGAAATTGCGTCCCGTGTTGGGACTGCGTATCGTAATCAAGTTTCTTTCACGAAGGCCGTGATAGGAGTGTTCTCTGTAAAGGTCCTACTGAATGGTGAGCGGTTATTTGAGCGCTAGGCTTCTATGTCTATCTCCCTGCATTTATTTCTAAGGGAAATAACCTGCTAAACCATAAATACTTTAGTATATGGAGTTGTCATCCCGCTTTTCAATTTAAATGGCAGGTGCATTTTATTAATTAGTCCAATGCAAACATAAGTAACAGGATAGGGGTGTATTGAAACAAATAAATCAAAATAGCAGAAATACTTGACATCTTTCCATAATGCATTGCACAAAAGATAAGTGTCGTTCCTGCACTAAAAAAGCAGATTTAGTCATAACCAACTGGTCACTAAATAAACTTACGTCCTTTTCAGGACGTAATTTTTTCTTATTTGAAGCCCCACTCTGGCTTTTGCCAGGGGCCGCAATATAGGCAGGCCATTAATATGGCCAATTGTCTGAACGCGGTTTCTGGGACCTCTCCACGGTGATCCTCATCCGCATGGTGGCACTTTGTGTCATCGGGTGTTTATCGCTTGTGTGATGTCCTAGTGGGGTAGAAAGTCAGTCAGTCAGTCACTAAATAAAGACTTGTAATTTATCGAGGGGAGGTTGTAGCGAGCTTGCCCAGCTGCTGCACCTCTTAATGTTCTAAATATACGAAAAGTTGGCGGATGTCCTAGAAACACCATTCAAGTTTGGTTTAAACAGTGCATCACACCTTTCTTCTTCTGCCCTTTTATCCCCGAATGGAGCATAGGCCCTCTACCAAACCACGGCAAAGTTGGGCACTCTTCCGAATAC